GACGCTATACTGCGTCGTGTGGCCGAAGAGGTGTCTGAGCAATTCCAGAGCTGATGAAACGAACATTGCCCTGCACGCCGTCAAACCGCAATAATTTATATTGAGGGATATAGTTTCGGGATCCTGTATTGGATGAAGTAATTGAGTATTTGGACTTTTCTTGTGCATCCAAATGGCTTGCGAATGTTTCTCGTGGAATTGCCTGCAACTATTGATATTAACTTGTGTAGGCTCAGGACAGAATTTTATTTTCAGTCTGAGTATTTGCTATCAACCACCACTTATGAGGAATAGAGAGCCAACTGCACAATATTTAATAATCAAGGGTTTGGCCGCTCGGCTCCGTAAAAATACGGAAGATATATGTCTAGGTCGATACATTCGAATGAGTGACGCACGAGGTGAGCAATCCCAAACCGTTCGAGGCAATCAAAGGTCTTTTCTGCAGCGTGCTCGTTTTCGTCAGAAGGACCAACCCGAGCTTGGGTAGGAGCAGGAGGAGCCGAATGCGAATGAGGGCAATTGAGCGTGGCGTGAGCGGAGTAGACATTAGGGTATATATTACAGAGTAGGTACCTCCGCGTGGCGCCAGCGCCCATATATCTATGTACCAGTTCTGGGCGAATTCGCAAGACTATGGGCTTATTCTCATCGCATGACTCTGGCGCTCCAGTCACAATTTCGAAAAGCATGAAACCCTCCAAGTATGACTTGGTTGGACGTCAAATAGGTGGATGGAAGCGGACGTGGTGTACTGTGCACGACCCAGCAGCCTATTCCTTGGGAGAATTTGATTGGGCAGGTCAGGGTTCGATTCTCCGTGTTCGCAATGTGGCTGAGCCTTACAGTTTCTTGCAGGAGCCAGGCCGTTCAGAATTTTCTGCCACAGTGTAAATGGTGCGTTCAAAGACTCTGCTCTGCCAAAACTATCGGACCTGGTGGTTTCATGTTGACAGGGAACTCGGACTCGAAGGAAGCGGGTTTCAAAATTCCGCAATGTCTTGCTCAGGAATTCAACGCGACTTTAAAAGGGGTATGGACGCGGACGTGGTGTACGGTGCACGGCCCAGCAGCCTGTGAAGAGTGATTTGGGCGAAAGTTGATGGGCAGGTCGGGGTTCAATTCCCCGGGTCCGCATACGGTGGTCCAATTACTTTTTCTTTGCAGGACACACTCACTGCGCCCACAGTTCATGATCGGCAGCGGAAATAGTCATATTTTTCTTGCTGACCCCGTAACTCGATGCTCGTGAGCTGCCAAGCGGTATGTTAATCCCTTATTCGGACTCCAATGCAGCTTCACGGAGACGGAGACCTAGCAGGATGAACTTACGAGTCGGCACCCGGTGCCTGCCCCAGCTGGCGAAATCAACAGCGATGCATATGCATCGATGGCTGTCGACGTTCGGATTTACGGATGGGTTTATGGAACTGGAGAGCAATCGGACTGGAGGGCCTTTACGCGCGGTTTCGTCCCGGAAGAGCAGCAGTTAGTTTTTTTGGACGATGCAGACTTCAGTACTATACTAGTGCCGGATCCTGCCAGTGGTTGGATGTTTAACTTTGTTCAAGTTGAGTCAGCCTTGTCGATTCGATTAGATGAAGCAGCTCGACAGTTTTCTTCAAAAACAGATTGCTGCTCCACTGAGATCCTCCACGAAGGACGTGGTCGCCTGAATTTTGTTATATATTCCTGAGCTTTGTTTGCATCTCCTTGCGCGTTTTGTTGTCGTCTATGTACGCGTTTGTCGGAGTTTTAAATTCGCCCTTTGCCACCGTCATGGACGACTCCGAGCCGCAGCCACCCAAACGCGTCGAGGACCTGTGGTTCGAAGACGGAAATATCGTTGTTCAGGCTGAAAACAGCCAATTCCGAGTCTATCGCGGTGTTTTGGCCGCCCGGTCGACCGTATTCCAAAACATGCTCTCGTTTCCACAACCACCCGAGTTGGAGCTCGTCGAGGGCTGTCCGCTGGTGCGGCTTCATGACTATGCAACCGAGGTCACGGCTTTCTTGAAGGCAATCTTTGAACCGGAGTGCGTTCCCATTGACGCTCCGAAGCGAGGTCTCATGCTGAAAGTCAGGTTTTTCATGCCGTTCCCGGTCCGCACAGACTTGGAAACTATCATCGGGTGTCTGCGCTTGAGCCACAAATATGGGGTGGATTATCTTCGTCGCCGAGCTCTCATTCACCTGTCTTCAGCGTATGACACCGATCTGTCGAGATGGGACAGGATGGCCACATTCGTACCGAACGACAATGGGTCCAATCTACCTGCGTTAGACATAAAGTCATTTCCGTGGCCTGACCATCGAGTTCGGACCGACCTACTTTGCATCATTCAACTGGCTCGGGAAACTGACGCACTCTGGATCCTCCCTGACGCCTTCTATAACCTCTCCGCCGCTTTCAGCCAGGTCGGTAAACACATCTTCCATGGAGGTGTCTTTCACGGGGTTCCGACCGGCCTAAGCATACAAGACCAAGAAGCCTTTCTGACCGGCCACGACATCCAAACTCGGAGCAAAGAAGCCATCCTGCGGTTTTTATCCGATCCGCTTAAGATTGATGGTTGTGTTTCTCCAGCCCGATGCTGGGGACTGCGACTTGCAGCGATTAGGTTGGGCTGGGGAGATTTCCAAAATCGTCCTTCTGATCCTCTTTGTCTATGGGAAAGTGATGACTGGCATTTGCTCCACGATTTATGTCCTGCATGTATCACCTTGCTCAGACTGCATCACAATACGGCGCGCCAGAAATTCTGGGACAACCTACCCAAAATTTATGGTCTACCTCCGTGGGAGGAGTTGGAGAAGATGAAAGTCGCGGCCATCGGCACAGATTACTTCGGTTAGCAGCATCATGTAAGTCTCTATTCGCTCAATTCAGAAAACCGCAATGGCTGATCTCCCACTTCCCGGTACGGTTTCCAGCGCCTAAGCTACCCTGCTTTGCGCCTCATGTACCCAAAGCCCTCATCGTCGAGGGAGCCAGACCCGCATCGTTTCCTGATATGATATATAGTTGAGGTGTCCCTCCTGTTCCTTGTGTAACCTGCTGCTGCACATCCTCCGATACTTACTACTGAGTACTAACTTAGAAACATTTCATCGCAAATGAGCTTGTTATCTGGCCCTTTTTTCCGACTCTCACTGACCAACGCTCTTCCCGGAATCGCTGTTCTAGAGGCACGGGTGCACTGGGCGAAGCTAGACGAAAACGCGTCACTGACCTCGGATAACCGTGTCCGGTGGGGGGATAATATCAATGTGCGGGTATTATCATCAGTACCCCTCGCGGAAGGCGAGTGTGTCAACAGATGCCCGTTCGTGCGCTCGTAAGGCGTGTTACCGTGTTTATGAACACAATTGGACTCGGCTGGAGTGTTTCTCGATCGCTCCCTCCCCGAGAGCGATTCTGATACGACGCCGATAGAGTTTGGAGAGAGCGCTCGACGTTCCTTGCCATGGATATGTAGCTTACGGATGACTGGGATTCTGTCCCACGTGCCGTTTGAACACCCCCGTTGTATTCCAAGGTATTCAACACGGCCAGTTCTTGTCTATCTGTTCTTGTTCACCACAGAACTCAAGTACAGAGTCGGACGTGGTGCATGGCGCACGGCCCAATCTAATAAGAAGGTGGCGGTCCAATGGGTTGGCCGCGCAGGTCGGGGTTCGATTCCCCGTATCCGAAATGCACAGCTCATTCGCACTTGTTTTTTCTTCCAAGTCCGGCGGATTATAACCAAATATTCAGAGCTTTCACAATGATATCTCTTCAGGAAGCCTGAGGCGTATCGACTCCGCGCCGCGGCTGTAGCCTCAGGCTCCTGTAGGCCAAAGAGTGCAACCCCCGAACAAATCTACTGCCAGAATTATCTTTTCTCCAGTAATTCGACTCCAACAAAGAGGATGGACGTGGACGTGGTGCATGGCGCACATATGGCTCAGTTCCGCTTCTCTCACGGTGGACAAACCCGAACCCAATTCGGGATACAGAATGCAAAGTTATGAACACATGTTGGATGAAAGACAACGATTTGAGGGAAAACCGGGTGTCGCAAGGACCCGTCGTATTGCAGCGACCTTTATATGACTGTAGGTGAGAAGCGGACATAGTGTATGGTGCACGGCCCAGCACTCTTCAGGGTTCTCCGGCGAAAGTTGATGGGCAGGTCGGGGTTCGATACCCCGGGTCCGTAATGCGGTTGCGCGTTTGTACTCTTTTCTCTCGCAGGAGCCAAGTCGTTCAAACTTTTCCTCCTCGGGATAAATAGGCCTTGCCTGCTAAAACAACCAAACCTGATAATACTGACTGGCAACTCGGACTCGCTGGGAGCGGGGTTTCAACTGTGTCCCGTCTCAATTGTTCACCAGCTTGGTTTAATGGCATATAGGTGGATGGAAGCGGACGTGGTGTAGGTGCACGGCCCAGCATTGTTCGAGTTACGTTAGGCGAAAGTTGGGTAGGTCGGGGTTCGATTCCCTGGGTTCGCAATGTGTCTGGTGGATTGTTGTAATTTTTTTCTCTTGCAGGAGCCAGGCCGTTCAGACTTTTTTCCGCCACGGGATAAATAGGCCTTGCCTGCTAAAACAACCAGATCTGGTGATTTCAAATTGTGTCCCGATTCCTCAATTATTCACCGACTTGTTCAACTCCGGGAGGCGGATTGATAAATTCAACTCCGAAGAGGTGGATGGAAGCGGACGTGGTGTATGATGCACGGCCCAGCATCCTGTTCAAGGTGATTTGGGCAAAAGTTGATGGGCAGGTCGGGGTTCAATTTCCCGGGTCCGCATACGGTGGTCCAATTATTTTTTCTTTGCAGGAGGAAACTTCCAAGCCTGCGGAAATCAGTGATTGACTTTGCGAAGTCAAACAGGCCACGTATGTTCAACCACATCGACCAGAGACTCAAATTCGAGGCAAGGGGTTTCAAAATTTTGTCGTGTCTTCGATTGTTCACCAATTCGGTTGAACAAATAGGTAGATGGAAGCGGACGTGGTGTACGGTGCACGGCCCAGCATCCTGCTGGACGTTGACGAAATTTGATGGGCAGGTCGGGGTTCGATTCCCCGTGTTCGCATGGTGGCTGAGCTAAATTTTCTCTCTCGCTGTAGCCAATCGGTTCATTTTTTTTCCGCGACGGGATGGATGGTTCGTTCAGAAGAGCCTGCCAAAACGACCAGATGCGGGGATTTCATTTTGACTCGGACTCGAAGGAAACGGGTTTCAAAATTCCGTACTGTCTTCCTCAGCAATTCAACGCGAAGAAGGGGGACGGACGCGGATGTGGTGTATGGCGCACGGCCCAGCCTCTTAGATCAGTAGGCGACAGTTGTTTGGGCAGGTCTCCCCGTGTTCGCATGCTCAGTTGTAGAGTCGAATTTTTTCTCTCGCAGGATCCAGGCCGTTCAAACTTTCCGCCACGGGATAAATGGTTCCTGCCAAAAAACCAGATCTGGTGATTTCATTTTGACTGTGGAACTCGGACTCGCCGGGAGTGGGTTTCAACAATTTATCTTGTGTCAATTGTTTGTTCACCGACTTGGTTGAATGGCATATAGGTGGATGGAAGCGGACGTGGTGTACGGTGCACGGCCCAGCATCCTGCTGAACGTTGATGTAGATTAATGGGCAGGTCGGGGTTCGATTCCCCGTGTTCGCATGCTCAGTTGTAGAGCCGATTTTTTTCTCTCGCAGGATCCAGGCCGTTCAGTTTTTTTTCCGCCACAGGATAATTAGGCCTTGCCTGCTAAACAACTAGGCCTGGTAATTTCATATTGACTGGGAACTCGGACTCGAGGGAAGCGGTTTGCAAGTTGTGTCTCGTCTCAATTGTTCACCAATTTTATTGAATGGCAGATAGGTGGATGGAAGCGGACGTGGTGTATGGTGCACGGCCCAGGATCCTGCTGGACGTCGACGAAAATTAATGGGCAGGTCGGGGTTCGATTCCCCGTGTTCGCATGCTCAGTTGTAGAGCCGAATTTTTTCTCTCGCAGGATCCAGGCCGTTAGACTTTTTCCGCCACGGGATAAATGTTTCGTTAAGACTCTGCCCAAATAACCAGATCTGGTGATTTCATGTTGACTGGGAACTCGGACTCGCCGGGAGCAAGTTTCAACTGTGTCTCGTGTCTTCAATTGTCACCGACTTACTTCAACTCCAGGGAGGTGGATAAATACATTCAACACCGGCGTCCGAAGAGGTGCATGGAAGCGGATGTGGTGTACGGTGCACGGCCCAGCTTGAGTGAAGATTGAGGGGCAGGTCGGGGTTCGATTCCCTGCGTCCGCATAGAACTGTGGCTTCGTTCTTTTTCTTCGGACGTTACATTTATCTACGCATATGGTACAATCTCATCTTTTTGGAGGGGTCTCATTGAACAAGTTACAAGGGCCCAGACCTGAGACCAAGCCCAGACTTGCTACTTTGCACCGCCAATTCTGCAGTTTGGTTCAAATTCAACACCTCAGTCCATTCAATTTCAATTCAACTCGATCCATTTCCATTAGAGTGCGCCACCCCTGGGGCCTGTTATACGTGAGACATTGACAGTCTAATTTCAACTCTCCATTTTGAACCGGTCTCTCGCGGCCCGGACCGGGATCATGACCGCCCCTTGCACGTGCCCCCGAATATCTTCCTTTTCGCTCCACCCTGTCCTCGGGACACTCTCACTTTCTTTCCTTCCCACCACGACCACGATAACAAAAGTCTTACTCTAGTCCTTCTCTGGAAAGCATGTGTGAGTTTCATTTCCTCCATTCGTTGTGCCGAGGCTATATCCGGCCGCACGCAAATGCCTCATTCCGCTGCGCTATTTTTTGACACAGAAGCATTGCTTCTTGCTGCTCCTCCTCATCCGATTTCTCGATAACGGCGAGCGACGAGGACGAGGATGTCTTCCTCCGCGTCGAGCACGCAGCCCCCTGTTCCCAGCACAGTCCCTTCTTCCGGTCCCTTGCTCTCGTATTTCTATTCTAATTTACTGATTTTATCTTGACAGCGAGCGTACTCCCCTCCCCAATATCCTCCCCCCCGCCCAGCTCAACCAGTCCGAGCCCCTCCAGCTCGATTCCCCCCACGAGCCCAAGCTCTACCCCCCAAAGCAACAGCAACAGCGTAAGCGCAAGCAACCCCGTCTCCAGCCCGCCCTCCAGCGCTCCGCCCCTCTCCAGCTCCTCATCCGTCGTCGTCCTCTCCACCCCGTCCGTGACCGTCAGCCCATCCACTTTCCTGTGCGTCTCGTTTCCCCTTTTTTTCGGGTCTCGGTTTCTTTTCTTCTTTTGTTTCTCTTGTTTCTTTCTTTGGATGGGATGTGCTTGATTTGTTTGTTTGTTGTCCACTCCTCTGCGGTGCGGCGCCGGGACCCCACATACGCACTATAGTGCCCGGTACACGCACACGACGCCCCGTCCGGTCCAGCCCAGACCCCCATGCTCGTGCCCGTGCCCATCGGCGCCACGCACACTTCCACTTCCATTCTATTCTAACACGGCACCGCCCCACCCCGGTCTCGATCTTGGTCTTAGTCTCATCTTCATCTTCATCTTCGGCCTGGTCATGGCGTACACGCGGCGGGCACAGGTATGGTCGGGCTCCATTGCCCGGTCGTCTCCGTCGTACGCCGCTCTCCGCTATTCGGGAGTCGTCGCAGCCCTCCTCTCACTCGGGGTCCGGGGCTGTGCGAGCAGCGGGAGTCGGTTTCGCTGGGGCAGGACCAGGGATGCATCCGATCCGATCGATTGAGGACGGGGACGCCCCCGTGCCTGTGCCTGTGCCTGTGCCAGTCGCGTCAGGGGCGGCTGACTCTGAGCAGCCCGCGGGTCGTGCGTCTGCGTCTGCGTCTGCGTCTGGGCTACGTTGGCGGGTCGCGTGTGTGCTGGCCGGTCATGGCGGGCTCTTGTGCCATGTGTCGTGTGGCGCGGCTGAGTGACCGTCCCCTCCTCATGTACGCGACCGACTCTGGGTGCGGGGAGGAGTGCGGGTTGCCGGGACGGGGGACGGGGGACAGGGGAGGGACTGCAGATCGGCGGGGGAGCGTGCGCGTGCCAGGAGCGCATGGATGCGGTTGGGGAGAGGGAGGACTGCGGGCGCTCTTTTCCTTCCTGGGCTTTTCCTTTATGCGTGCGAGTGGCGGGGTGCGTAGTCGTCGATGCGCGAGTGGTGTCGGTGTCGGTGTCGGTGTCGGTGTCGACAATGAAGCGGTGTGCGGCAGCCGTGTCGTAGTGTCTGGGGTGTATGAGTGTGGACGCGTGGAGCGGCGGAACGCGGACGAGAGTCACGAGACGGGGACGGCGGAGGCATGCTTCAAAGGAGGGCGGTGGGCGTTGGGCCTCAGCCCGAGTGGTTTATCTGCTACAAATATATGGTGGAATCTCCAGCCCAACTGTGACCTGAAGTGGAGAGAAGTCGAGTCTCTTTGGGTGGTGTCCGCGTGCCGCTACCTTGTCGTCGTGCCTCGTCGTGCAAACGTGGATGCGTCAGCATCGTCCCTCTTTCCTTTCTTATCCCCGTTTCTCTTCTCTCTCCTTCCTCTCTCCTTCTCCCACTGACTCCCGTTCCATCCCCAGAACCACAGGCCCCAACGGCGTCGTCAAAACCGTCACCACCCAAGTCACCTCCACCGTCCCCGCCGGCTCCACCGTCACCCAAGCCCCGTCCTCTAACCATAACGACTCCACCTCCCACACCGGCGCGATAGCAGGCGGCGTCGTCGGCGGCGTCGCCGCGCTCCTCCTGCTCGCGCTCCTCATCTGGTTCCTGACCAAGCGCTCGAGGGAGCGCGCACGGGAGCGCGAGTTTGACGGGAACTTCGACCCGGGGCGGACGACGGAGGCGACGCTGCCGCGGGTGTCGCTTGGGGGGGAGAACGGGTATTCGGGCGGGGCGGGTGGGGCGGGGCTGGGGATGGAGGAGGACGACGGCGTGGGCGGGCGGCTGGCGGGGAGCAGTATTGGCGGGGGCGTCGTTACGCCGTTTATGGCGGGCGTCGGGGCGGGCGCGGGCGCGGGGTACGCGCAGCAGCACTACGGCGACCCGCATGCGCAGCAGCAGTACTACGCCGGCGGGAGCGGCGGGGGGTACGAGACGGCGAGCGACGGGACGGGCGCGCCGCTGAGTCCATCTCAGAGCAGCTACTACGGAGCCTCGTCGGCCGGTGCGCACCCCGCCGGCATGGGCATGGGCGCCCCGATGAGCGCGGCGACGAGCAGCTCGGGCGGATACCCAAATCCCATGAGCGCGAAGGAGCGCGAGGCGCGCGGGGGCGGGTTGGGCGTTACGAATCCCTCTTCTGGATCGATCCCGCGGATGCCGAATCCGCATTCACCTGGGGAGGACGTCGGCAGTGGGAGTGGGAGCGGGAGCGGGGTTGTGGTGCACCAGGATGGGGGGCGCGTGCCGGATGAGGGTGCGGAGGGGATGCGCGAGATCCCGCCGACGTATGACAGTATTCGGTCATAGGTCCGGGCGTTTTTGGGCGGTACATTCATTCTACAGACTTACTCACTCACTCTCGTCGCACTACGCAGCGCTAGACCTGCTACCTACGAGTGACTCATACCCACCCACATACATGCACTACTTATATACTCTTAGCTTGCTTTATCTTACTTGCGCGACATTATTATCTAGTAGTGTATGTAGAATGGACGCTTGCAGCTGAAGTGTTTCGTTACAGTTGTAGGTATTGAATCGGACCTAGTGCACGGTGTATGCAGTGGACGTGTGTATTGTCAGGGAGCTCGAGACTGCAGGATTTCGAGGTGAGATTCATTGAAATCATCTCCGACTGCGGAAGGTCGCTCCCTCCAGCGCGTGTCGAAATCTTGACAGACACATAAGAAAATTTACAAGTTCCCCATTGAAAAAACGCAAACTGCGGGGGACGGAAAGTGAGGTGGAAAATATGCTTCGATATTGCATAGATACCTTGTAGATACCCATGAAGAAGCGCTACGAGTACCAGTGTATTTCAGACGCGCTATAGAAGGCGCGTCGGGCGCGTCGGGTGTGTGGAGATGCGTGTCCGCCGCCAAATTAGTACAGGCCTTCTCCCCAGGGGGTTGTAACTTTGAA